TTTGTTGCTCTTTTTATTTTTATCCTATTAGTTTTGGTTTAGTCCTTGAAGAGGGATAAATGCTGCCTTTGAGTTTGATCAAATCAGAAAAAAACATTTGCTGATTTATCACAGGTCTTGAACGAGGACTTAAGGCTCGTATTAGGCCAACAAGAACGCATGCTAAATGGCGCTAATGTATGGAATTGGCCCGTTTCGTATGATAAGCTTGGAGTAAGATATAGGCTGTGGAGAGACTTTGTCGAGAATGGAGAGTCAAAATGATCACTCTCCAGCAACTCTACATAACAAAACCCATTTGGCCAATATTACCCTGTAGATGATATTCGGCTTTATACGTTGATTTTGATCCAACATCAGTCGATTATTTCAGAATTCGAGCAAATGGAGTTGTTCGAGAAGAATGAATTCATTTTGTAACTCACGGTCCTAAATGTGAAAAATAAGAGAAAACTGTACACATCTGTATTCTTTCTTTTTTTTTTTTTTGTTTTTTATCACCTTTGTGAGAAGAAAATTTTGCTTGATGTATCCATCTTTTGGACTCAGAGTTGTGCTTAGTACAGTTGAAGCTTGAAAGTTTGAATCCAAGAGAGCTTTGCTGTTTTTTTTTTCCTCCTATAAATCAAGTGTATATTGCAGACATAGATGAACAACAATTTTTATTTTTGCTTTCATTTTCTACTGATCAACGAAGACTAAAGACTTTTTGAGACTTTACAAATCCTAATATATTTACCTGGGATTTTTTTAAAAATAAAAATAAAAATACTAGAGGTATTTAGTTGAAATTTTAAAGTCTTAAAAAGTCATGTATTCATTTATCATAATAATCACGTGAAACAAAACAAAAATGATCAGAGGCCAATATCCCTTTTATCTTACAGTAGCAAGATTCTCAATACATATACCAACATTACCAAGCTGCTACACTCAATACACTTCACATTCCACAACTATCATCTTCCAATCTCTCTACAAAACACCCATCTATCGAATAAAATTTTACAATATTCGAAACGTGCAGTATATATAATAAAAAGTAAAAACAAAACAACAAAATAAAGTTCTTGTAAAAAAAAACACATTACATCAGTTTCCAAACTGCAAGCAGCTCCTGGAACATCTCCACCACGAGCTCCCGATCAGCCTGCCTGAAAAACTCGTTCATCTCCTCCCTAACATCGTAAATCTTCCCAAAATCGAGCAAATACATCAAGCAACCCTTTTTCAACTTCTCCAGCCCATAAAGCCATGCTTCTTGCAGCCTCTCGAGCACATTCCCCGAGTTTATGTCTTCCAACAGGCTCTCTTCACACGCATCTTTCAAGTCTGAAATATCATACTTATTTGCCGAGCCCAGCAGAGCCAAACGGTGCCTCCAGAAGTCTTCTTGATTTATCGAGCCGTATAAGTAGCTGAGAAGGGCCATGCAAGACTCGCAAGTCATGTCTTGAATCTCGATTGTCGAGGACTCTTTCTCCTTGAGGTCGTGTTGAAACATGCTGTTGAAAACGGGAGAGCTTGCGGAGAGTATAGATTTGTGGGCCCGGAGAGTGCCGTCAGCAGTGGTGATGGTGAGGTCAGCGTGGATGCCTTCTTCAAGCATGCGAGAGAGGCTTCGGAGGGTGGTTTGAGCTGACTGGTGCTGTAATGTAGCGTCTGTGGGCCATATGGAGCTGCCTTCTCCACCCTGAGGATTTCGTGATGAGAGAAGAGAGAGAAAAAAAAAAGAAAAAGTTTGGTCGAGAGAGAGAAACAAAGCTTTCATTCATGTTGCATTTTGTTAATGTTTTAGGATAATTACATACACACACATACACATATAGTTTTTTGGATAACCCTTGTAATTGAAAGGCTTGCGCCCTGTAGTTTATGGTTGTGTGTTTGGTAAGCATATATAAGCTAGTTTATAGCTTATTTGATTAGCTTATAAGTTTCTTACATTCAAATAAGCTTGGTTTGACAGAATGAGCTTTTTTAAAAAGTTCGAGCTTATATCATAAGCTTCTTTGGGTAGCTTTTCAAATAAGCCCAATTGAATTTTTTTTTTTTCAGCTAACTTACTAATTTTGCCAAACACTTTATCATATAAATTAGCTTTTTCAGCTAGAAGTCATAAGCTATAAATTATAAGCTCGAAATTCACTTAAAAGCTCGAAACATAGCCATAGGCTATGCTTGGTAAAACTCGGTGATAAGCTAGCTTATAGTATATGTAATTTTTGAGCTTATAACTAATGACTTATAGCTGATATGATAAAAGTGTTTGGTAAAATTAGCTGATAAACTAGCTGAAATAAAAAATTCAACTAGCTTATTTGAAAAGCTACCTAAAGTAGGTTATGAGATAAGCTCGAGCTTTTTAAAAAAGCTCTTCCTACCAAACGAAGCTTATTTGAATACAAGGAGCTTATAAGCTAACAAAATAAGCTATAAGCTAGCTTATTTGGCTTATCAAACATAGCCATAAGCTAGCTTATAAACGAGGTTTACCAAACATAGCCTATGTGATCACAAAAGACTTCAGTACCTTCCGAAAATAGAAATGCCACGAGTTAGGTAATTTTGAAATATAGCTATAAATTTCTTACTATTTATTTTTCTGGTAAATAATTTAAACCTCCAAGGGAGTTTTCTTTTTTTTTTAAAAAAAAAAAAATAACTATTCCTTTTTACCTTTTAACTCTTAATAAACTTGAGAACAAAATCACAAATCTGAGGTAAGAACTAAGAACACAGGTGTCCAGTATATAGAAACTAGTTAGTNATCATACGGAATTTGGAAAGGGTTTAAGTTTTAAGCACAAAATCAATGCGAGTGTGTATCAAAATTCTCACGTTTAAAGGGCAGATCTTAAGGTCCAGAAACTCGACATCAATCGTGAAACGGCCTTGGAAGTTGATGTCGACAACACAGGCAAAATCATCACTTGTTCGGAGTAGTCTCTCGTGAACTGCAGCACAAAGCAACCAAACACCAATTAAGTAAACTCTAACAAAGAAAAGATTCAAGTATGCAACACATATTACGTATATAGTGTGATGGATGTATATGCTTAAGCTTATGAGCTTGCAATCACGCAGATAAGTATAAACAGTCCTTCGAATAATATTCATGGCGTTCAAGAAACACAGTAAATATGCTGACAAAGAGAGACAAATGGTACAAACAGATTACACCTATAGATTTTATGAAATACAATCGAAAAAAATGAAGAGTATGCTGCAAACTCCAATCATGTAGACAAAATTTTCAAACACGTATGATGTAACAGCCTTTCTTTTAAAGTAAGGCGTGACACCATAAGTGATAAATGCATTAAGATTCGATCTACTGGACAACACTGTAAATATTTGGGAAAAAAAAAATCAATTTTCATTTCTGAAACTTCACCACTGCTCGAAACACCCATCACCCTTTTGCCCCAAATCTAATATAAAAATTGGATCTTTTTTAGACTCCAATTTTACATTAATCTAGTGGCTTGGACAATACTCGTTTTTCTTTCAACAGTCAATCTAAAAGCTTCAAGCCCACTATCACAATCAACAAAAGCAATCGAGAAAATCGAAATAGTAAAGAGAAATAAGATAATTGAGCTGTAGCCGAATCTCAGAATATGAACCAAAAAAGTTCATCAATCAGGGCAAAAAAGTCAACCGCAAAAAATGAATCGTAGGTCGATAACACACAAAATAGTAAAAGAACACTGATAACATTTACTGGGAGAAACGTAGGGCCTGCGACTGGAGGCGGCGGTGGTAACACGTATGACAAACCGGGCGACCGGCGGCTGCTCCTTGGAAACTCGCGAAGGTTCGGGGAAAAGCCGGATGTACGTGGACCGATTCCTCTCCACCGATAAATGCCTGAAAAAAAAAATTGAAAATCCCCAATTTCACGTTCATTCAACCGAACGATCCGAACACGCACCAAAAGGGGGAGAAAAATTGAGCGATCGATTACCAGTTCCAAATACCGATTTTGAACGGGTCGGATCTTTTGTAGGGAGAGGTTGGACCAAAGCTCTCGATTTTCCACTGTGCGAGTCGAGCTATAGTCTCCACCTTGGTGTCCGTCATTTTTTGCTCTAGAGAGATAAAGAAAGCTCCAGTTTAGAGAGATAAAGAGAGAGTTCCACGAGCTACGATGACTGTCTGTCAGTCTGTGTTTCGATTTACGGAGGAACAAAGGGTGTTTTCGTCATGTGAAAATAAATTTTTTACAAGCATCAAGCATGTTAATTTCCTTTAAACTATGTGAAACCATCGTATGAGCCGTCTTTATGGAACAAGAGTAACAAAATGAGTTATTTTAGTTAACTAGAGTTAATTTTGAAAAAGGTAGTATGGTTAATTGTTAATGGGATTTTAAGAATGTATTAAAATAATATTTAAAATAAAATGATTAAAATTGATTTGATGTAAAAGTAAGAGATAAATAATTGGAAATGATTAGAATGATAGGTAGTTAAAATTATGTGAGTGGATGAATAGTGAATTAAAATTGATGTGATGTGTAAGAATGATTGGTTTGTATTATTTAATTATATGAATAATATTAAAGATAATGGGATTGAGTTAAAGTTGAGTTAGATTTTGAGTATGAATTGGATTGAAAATGAAATAATTTGTAAACAAGCATGCCCTAACATGAACCTTCAGCTAAAAAATAATAAATATTGTCTCAAACATTATAAATTATTATGCGAGTCTGGCCATTGGATATGAAATGCGTACTTATTTTAAAAAACATTAAGTCTATCTAAAAGTTTACGGTTTAATCAAATACTTCCAGCATGTTTGTTTATAAAAAATTTTAGTTTTGTTTAGATTTTTTGATTTGATTTGGTTAATTTTGAAAAAAATGGTATTGTTAGTTGTTAGTGAGTATATTAAAATAATATTTAAAATAAAATAATAAAAATTGATTTGATGTAAAAGTAAGAGAGAGAATTTTGAAGTGATAGTTAGTTAAAATAATGTGAGTGGATGAATAGTGAATTAAGGTTGATTTAGTGTGAATGAATGATCGATTGATATTATTTATATTATATTGATAATTTGATGATAATGAGGTTGAGTTAAAGTTGACTTAAAAAAAGTGGTTGAGTTAAAATGTTAGAAATTTTTTGAAAAATTTCATAAACAAACATGCTCGAATTGTTTCTCTTTTAATTGAACGATTTTCATTTAATTTTTTTAGAGAAAATTACTCCCCTTACCACTCTATTTCAACTTCTTCTTTTTTTAAATTACAAGATGAGATTTTTATTTGTGAGATTATGGTTCTTAATTAGTTTTAAAAATTGATATATGTAATGCCTTGCATCTATAATTATGCAAAATTCTCGGTGATCTGAAAAATTTCAATTTACCATCACCCGTTGCAATTGATGGTGTAATTCTCACACACTTTCACTTAGACGTAAAAGATATTCTCGCACACACATACACACACACGATGGCGACGACGACGGCGGCGACAACACCTCCATCGGAAAACCCTATCAATGGCTCTGATGTCAATTCGAAGCCTTTGGCCGACGGAGACGACCCATCGAAGCAGACGCTGGCATCCTTCGATGGAGGTGTCGTCAAATCGGATGGTGAATCTGTTGTTGTCCACGACGGTGTTGATGCTGTCACTGATATCCAGAAGAAGATGAAGCGCACGGAGCGGTTCGGCATGCTGGTGTAGATGACGGAGGAGGAAAAACGTAGTTCCCGATTTGTGTATTTTGTTTTATCCCGTTTCATAATTGTTTATATGATGTTTATATTGTGTGTAACTATACGGTTAATATTAGAAAACTGTCAGATTGTGTTTATCTGATGTATATATACAGTATATTAGAAAACTGTCAGATTGTGTTTATCTGATGTATATATACAGTATATCTGAATATTTTTTTTTTGAAATTCCTGTTTTTTTTTCTTCACTGATGAGAATCTTTTTCTCCTTTTATTTGATTTTTGAAAACCACCTTTGTTCCTTTTTTTTAAGTGGCAGTTTTTTTTTCTTCACTGATGAGAATCTTTTTCTCCTTTTATTTGATTTTTGAAAACCACCTTTGTTCCTTTTTTTTAAGTGGCAGAAATTAGGGGCAAAACGGGTGCGGGCCACTATCATGAAGCGCACCATGAGAAAACGGGAAAAGTCCATATGAAGCCCAAATGGGGTTCCATCCCAAAACCAATTGGTAGAAGGAGGAGTAGCTCATTAGTCTTATAAGGTGGGTCTATTTTTCATGTATGAACGATGTGGGACAACTCACAAGTGATATTCTAACAAATGTAAAAATCTGTTTTGATTTGCGTGAATCAAGGTCTTATTAAAATGAGTATATAAGTTTTGGAAGATAACTTACTATCGTATATTTGTTAATATTTATCCACAAAAGTTCACATTTGATAAAACTTTTTTACTCACGTATATTTAATAATAAGTCTTATCTATTAATATATAAAGAGGCAACCTAAATAATTCTAAAATAGTAACTAAAAGATCAAATTAATTCCCGCCTAAACATATTACTATACATAGAAACTTATTTTAAAATTTTTTGAGATTTGCCGCCTCTTATTAAATCGTTTGAATTTTTTAAAAATTTTGAAATGTTTTGTCAATATCCCAAATCTTTAGCATATACGATACCTTATAAAATAACTAACATAAAATATTAATAATAACAACATCATACAAGATTAACATCAATAGACCTGGAAAGAAGTTTTCAATACCCCATATCGAAAATGATATTAGCATACTGCTATCGAATATTNATTTGCTATTTATCAATATATTCGATCATATCATAGCAAAAAACGCATGGATGGATATGATCAATTTTTTTGTAGGTCTGAAAGAAGTACTGCAATTATAGAAGATTAGTATATGATCAAATTTTTTAGGCAAATTAGATTTATAATGATTGTATCAATGAATATGTAGGTCATTCTCAAAGGTTATATAAGAAGATTATCACAGCTCAATCATCGAAATTCATATGATATAACGAAACAATAAATTAAAAGCCATCAATAAATCAACTCGCTGTTTTACAAATCGGCTTAGACGGCGCTAGGCGGTGCCCAGGCACCTCCGATTTGCACAAACCGGCAGAAAAAATCGGCGAGGCGGCTAAGCAGGCCTAGGCGGACTTGGCAGTCTCGGCGGCGAGGCGGTTAGGCGGTGCCTACGCGGACACAGACGGACCTAGGCGCTTCTAGGCAGACTCGACGGCAATTTTTTAATTTTTTATTTTTTATTTTTTTAAATACTAATGACATTATTTTGGACTTAAGTGTGTCGATTTATTATAAGTTGAGATAGTTTTATTTTGTAGGTAGTTAACATAAATAAAAAATAAGGTATTTAATATTGATTTCTAGGCTCCAACTAGGCGTTGGTCGATCGCCTAGCAACTTTTAAAACACTGGGTCAACTATCAAAAAACATAGGCACAATGATTAAGTTATAACACATAATTCAAACAAAAAACACAAATATATATATACATATCTACTAATATATAAAGAGACAATGTTATTTACTTGAAATAGCAACTAAAAATCAACAAAAAAAAAAACATTTGATTTTTTGCTTAAAGTATTTACTATATTGAGTAATATTTTTTGTCAAAATTTGGAAAATCCCGCCTAAATTAATGTACAGATTTATTTTGGTCAAATATTGCGGCTATTACCTTTAATAGTTGCATGATTTTAATTTAGAATATAATATAATAACAAAACTTGCAGCTATTATCTTTATTAGTTGTATGGTTTAAATTTGGTATATAATATATTAAAAAAATAAAAAGATTTTTATTTAAACTTAAAAATAAAAAAAATTATTCATAATTTGCGGGTCAATATTAATTTGAACGTAAGCGAAATAGTCAATTATTTATAGTTTAATATATTACTCAACTACTTAATTATTTTACTAATCTTAAATAGACATTTTTATGTAATTTTTGTACAATTTAACCTTTATATATATAATTTTTTCAATGAATTAGAATAGATAATTGTATTACATATTGATCCCAGATTTTTAATTTATAAATCTATACTTATATAATAAGAATTAACCTTTATCTAAAATAGTAGGTCAAATTATGGTCAATGTCGGATTTGCATTAAATATTTTCCAAAACTGGTAAGTTTTTGTCCTTTTCACACTTCTCATTAATTAATTTCTTTTCACACTTCTCATTAATTATGTCTTTTTCATACATCCAATTAATTCATTAATTACGACATAATTATCATAAATCATTCTATCTAAGCTTTTATTGTGAAAATATATAGTGATTTGTTATTACCTTATCCCATTGATATTTCCATGAAGCGTCCATATCGCGTTCTATTTTTTGGCAACCACTCTATATCAATAACCGGATATTTGGTTAATGATAGCACACTTCTTTATTTCAAGGAGCCGATATTATTTGACCTTTAATTAATCTGAACTGATTGCCTTGACTTTTTAATTTTTAAAAACTCTTTTTTTAATTATTTCGGCTTAAGAATCCGATTTCATTATACAAGTCATCGGATTGTTTGAATGAAAAGAACACCAACAACAGGTAGCCTTATTCATATAACCAATCCTAAAATATTAGTTTGTTCACCAAAAAGAGACAAATCTTAGAAATCCTAAAATATTAGTTTGTTCACCAATCCTAAAATATTAGTTTGATTTTTAGGATTGTCTCTTTTGAAAATATTAGTTTGTGATAATGAGGAGTTACCAAATAATCAAACTCATAATGTTGTGTACAAGGAGGTTTTTAATAATATATGATTGTTACCGAACTTTTTATGATTCAACAATGTTCCTATGTATTTTAATGATTTCAATTTCGATCCTAATGCACGTAAGGTTATATTATTCTTCCAAATTCTACATCCCGTGCATCGCACGGCTTACGTACTTATCCTCCAAATAAATCTATCCCGTGCTTCGCACGGGTCACGTACTATATATATCCCGTACATTTTTCTTTATTTATGTATATAATTATAAGCCTGGATAAATAGCCTTAAAATTGTGCACCCCGTGCATCGCACGGCCTCTGTACTAGTGTAGAGTATAGTTATGCAAATTACCCATTTTCATTTTCATATACTTCATATAATGAAGATTCCTGTTAAATTAACAATGGGCCCTATTTTAACGTTTTCAAACCTACCAGACCTCAAACCACAGTCTACCATGGCGGCGTTAGGCACTCAGGCCCAATTGGCCCATTTGTTTATTGTTAAAAAATAAACAAAAATAAATTAATCAAATAATTCACTTTTGAATTTCCTATTTATACCCCTAACAGAAACAGAGGCAAATAGAAAGAAATGGCAGACGAGAAGAACAATATAGTTTGGAACGAGAAGGCGAAGAGATTCGAGACGGAGGACAAGGAAGCCTACCTCTCGTACGAGCTCCGGAGAGATATCGACGGTGGCGGCGCCCAAACGACGATGGACATAACCCACACGTACGTGCCGCCGAGCAAGAGGGGCTTAGGCCTCGCCGCCGACCTCTGCGCCGCGGCCTTCTCGCACGCTCAGAGCCACTCTTTGTCTGTCATACCCACCTGCTCTTACGTCTCCGTAAGCTTCTTCCTTTTTCCCCTTTTTTTAGTGGAGATTTGAAAAAATAGGGTTCGAATTAGGGTTTTGGGGATGAATTTAGTTGATGATTTGGGGGAAAGAGACAAGGAGATCTTTTTATATGCGACGATTGTTACTTGACTTCAATTTTTTTGTTTAGATTGCTTGATTTTGGTTTTCTCACCTTCACGCGTTGTTTTTGCTTGGCAGGATACATTTCTTCATAAAAACCCTAATTGGAATTCGGTTTTGTACAAAGGAGATGTCAAGTCCAGCATGTGAGGTGGTAATTTGTATTTCTATTGTGTTTTTTATGGGGTGTTCCATGTTTGTTACCTTTAATAAAGATTTGAGAGTAAAGATGGTTGTGTTGTGAACTTGTGATTGTATTTAAAAAAAAAAAATGTTTTTCTTTTATTTTTTGTTGTTGTTGTTTTGGTCTTTTTTATTATTCTAATTCTAATTAAAGATTGGATCTTTTTTAACTAGGATTTAGGACTTGTAATTTCAATATGTAGCTAAAATATGAATAAATAAATGATAAATTGATAATGTAAACAAGGATGCTTCTGTTTGTGTTGAAATTGAAAAGCTTTTTTTTTCCTGTTTTTCTTTTTCTTTGATTGTTGTTGTCGTGATCATTGTCTTGTATTGGTATGTTATTCTAATTAAAAATTGGATATTTTTTTCATTAGGACTTGTAATTGCATTATGTAATTATTAAAATATGAATTAACTATAAAAATTAAACAAAACCATTAATGGTTATGAGTAAATGTCAACACATTTATATAAAATATGAGTAAGTTAATGAGGTTGTGGAAATAAGAGTAATATCCTAATATGACGTTGTGATCCAATGATGATAAATGCCCACACGAGGAGGAACAAATTTACCAGATTCCGAACCATATAGTTCACCCATTATCAATTTCTATACATTTGATATTATGCTTAAATTTTGAAAAATGCTGGAAAAATCAAAGCAAACACAAACCACTTGAGGTTTTGAAATCAACAACAAACAAAATACATCTTGTTTATTGACTAATAATATTTCTTGAGTTGACCCGCATGACAGTGTGGTAAGGTATGTGTAGCTTATAGTTAGATCGAGCTAAACACAATTTTTTTTTTTTTTAGCTGCACACATGATAATAAATCACAAGAGTTAACTATAATAGTTAGTTAAATTTATGTATAATTTTAACACATTTCTTTAAAAAAGTTGATTAGTGAGCGTGAGTTGAGTTTTGGAATATAATTTTTTACATTTATCTATGTTGGAGAAGAAAAACAATAAATCTATGATTGAGAAAATAAACATATTTAAAATTTAAGAAGCGTTAGCACGAATTTGGACAATTGTCAATGTGAACAATCAGCCTGTCCAAAGAGAAAATTACACCTGCCACGAGGTAATCTCATTTATATTGCACGTTTACAAAATCTCATCTTTTATTTGTAGTATTACGAGAAATTGTTGATAAATAATTTATAGTAACCCTTTTCTCTCTCCTAAAGTCAAACGTTCCCATATTTTTTATAACTCCTTTCTCTCTCTTCGCCATTATTCTTCCGAGAAGAAAGCTTCATCTTCCGAGAAGAAAATAATTCTCCTTTCATCTCTGGCGAGCCACCTGTCGCAAGAGCATCCAATCCCGGTGAGTTCAAACTCACGCCGCCCGGCAACCGTACGCCTGACCCTCCCCCACGAGCCTCATCCTCCGCTGAGCACGACCAGCCTTGTCCGGCTTCTCGCAAAATAGCCCAGGGACCTGCGATTTCCGACCAACATCCGACGCTTAGATCTGGTGTTATTTTCAGTATATGTTTTGTATATGTTCGGTATATGAATCTGTCTGCTCGTATATATTTACGTATATATTACGTATATGTTATGAAAAACTCCGATGAATTAGTCTGCTCGTATATATTACGTATATGTTCGAGTGCTTGTAGCAGGCAGAAAATTCATGTTGTAAATCGTGAACATACTGTATATCTCAATGTCGGGGTTTTTTTATTGTATTTTGAGAGAGAGATAATATGTTTCAATTTCAAATCAAACTAGTTTCCTGATAAAAACAATCGCCTAATAAATAGTATATATCCACTTACCTTTTTTTTTTCCAGTTAATCCCTTGCGTGATTTTAGAAAGCTCCTCATGTTTTTCCAGTTAATCCCTTGTGTGATTTTAGGAAGCTCCTCATGTGATAAGGCATGTTTTTATTTCCTCCACAAATAAAAGTAATTCAATTTGGTATGAGTGCTATTAAAATTAGATATCTCGTACATATGCAATTTTTTTATTTTCTTGTGGTAAATTAAAAAATTGGCCCTGTCCAAAACTCATTATCAGCACAAACTGGGCCACTGGATCAACCCAACTCAAATTTCTAAACGGCAAATCCTGCTGGACCATAGTTGTGCCAATAAAATGACATAATATAACTATAATATTTTTTTTATATACGATTTTATGATTTTAAATAATATACAAAATAATTTTATACAATTTTTTCTATAATAGGATGGATCTAGTTAGAAAAATTCATAATCACTGCAAAAGAATAAAAATAAAAATAAGATTGCAAAAATAATTCCATAAGATTAACTTCTCGGTCATATTGCAGATTTGGTTATTGATCATCCAACTAGGTTCGTACAATCCGTCATATTGCAAATTTGATTATTAATCATCAAGCTCGATTAAGGTTTTTAACTAATGAAACTATACTTTGCTTTAAGAATATTAATTTTGTAACAAAAAATAATTTACAAGAGACCGTCTTTGTAACTAATGTATAGAAAAATATTTTAAGAATTTTCCCAATACTTTTAATTATTTCGCTTTCAGTCGACGTATTGCGATTTATCGAAATTGTTAGGCCTTCTACTAAGCCGATCTAATCATTAAATCAATTTTTTTCATAAATATACATGCTTTCACTATAGATGGTATTAATTTGAAAACAACTATAGAGATAAAAGTGTGTCATTGAATTATATTAATATGTATTTTTATTTAAACAGTGCGACAAATTGACCCATTTAATCGTTAGTTTGCCTTACATAAGAATATGTATCACAAAAAAAGTTGATCGTCTGTGCCGGTCTAACCATTAGATTGATACATTTTTTTCACAAAATGTTAATCCTTTCGATGTATATAAGCTATGTTGGTATGAGACATTAGTCTATAAGCTAGCTGATAGTGGATAGCTTAAAGGTAAATATTAAGCTTATGACAAATAGTTTATGACTCATGGCTGAAAAATTAGTTGATATGATAAAAATGTATGGTAAAATTAGCTGATAAGCTAGTTGAAATAAAAAGTTTAACCGACTTATTTGAAAAAGATACCCACAGAAGAGTATGAGATAAACTTGAGATTTTAAGAAAAACTCGTTCAACCATACAAAAATCTTATAAGCTAACTAAACAAGATATAAGCTAACTTAGGTTGAATCTCAAATACACTAAAATTATGGAAAAATTTCTATTTTGGTCCAATGACTTGTCTAAAGTTTATTTTTGATGCACTAACTTACTCCTTATAAAAAATAATAAGTTATGTTGCAATTTGTATCATTTTTTGGACATTATTTATCATAAACAGTACGTTATGTTGCAAATTTATCATTTTTAGAACATTAACCCCAAAAAATAATGAACAATTTTTGAGATAATGTCTCAATAGTGATACAAATTTCAACATAACGTAATATTATTAATTTCAACATAACGTAATATTATTGATGATAGGAAAATTAGTGTAAAAAAAAGAACTTTAAATAAATAAATGGACCAAAATTGAATTTTAGGCCTCAAATTATCACGGTTCATGGATATTGGACTAAGTGGATCACATCACAACAAACAAAGTCAATCAAGGCTCCCTTCTCTCCGGTTCATATCCCTGCAATTACTCTCTTTTTTTCTCTATAATCCCTTGCATGAATTCTCCGCCTCTCTCCTTCACCCCCTTGGAAGAACCATATTTCACAGTACAGCACCATCCACTCAAAGGATCCCTGAATCTTAATAATCAATTCTAAAAAACCCTGTAACTGTCACTGGATCCCTTACATTCTCCCAACCGACGTCGTTTTAGCTGTCACTTAGCTTTTCATGGGGACCTCGAATGGTTATTCGACGAATTATCAGTATTCGTATTCGTTTGCAGATTCACGGCGAGACGTATTTTACTGGTGAGCGACGGCTGCTCTTTTTCTTATTTTTGGATTTTCCGATCATCATTTTTGCTTGAGTATGGCTCTAAGAACTTGATTTTTTTCCCTAATTGATTTGGGCTGCCGAAAAAAAATGTAATCTTTGAGCGATTATCATCCATTTCATTTGCGGGCTTCTACAATTTCATGTCCTGTGTGTATGATAAAGCTGCTGTGGTGGAAATTATGCTGACTGAAATGAAATTGGTTTTGCTAGCGTTGTCAATTGGTCCGAGGCTGATGAACATTTTAAGCTAATTATTATTATTTTTCTTTTAAATATGTGGATGTTCATGCACCACTGGGTTTATTGTTGTTAGGTTATCTGTAATCTTTGGTACTTTAGGTTTATTGCTGTCATTACCGAATTGGAAGCATTAGCATAGTTCATAAGTTTTCATTGCGTCATACATTTCACGTGTGCGTGCAGAAAATCTTTTCCATGAGGATATAAGCGAACAATCTGTAGATGCAAAATAAATTTCTGGGCAAGGTATTCGTATGAGTCGCTGGTTATAAGTTTATGAGAGATAAATTTCTACACTGTGTGAAGGCCCAACATATTTGTGCCAAACATGTAAGGTGTCATTGCATTAGCTACGAGGAGAATATCGAAATTCGTTTGGTTTGGTGATATTAATGATAGAGAGTATGTGTCGTGATCTGCCCTGTTTTAGTTCGTATTAGGATTGTGATGCCACGTAGTATTCACAAATCTTTTATGCATGTAGGGATTTGTCCGAAACAATAGATTGGATCTTAGTCGGATAATTTATGTTTGTGCGTTGATTTCTCATCATTCGGAATCTTCTTTACTAGCTGGATAGTTTATCTGCAGAGCTATTTACTTTGGAATCTGTGTTGATTACAAGCATTTTCCGTATTTCACGCATCTTTCCTTTAACGCATGTAGCAAACAATTATGTGAATATTTGAAAAAATAATCTTTTTTGGAATCTGAATTTTCTGTCTGGAAAGTATTTTAGTCAGTGTATAATGTCGAGTCTCTTGTATGGATGTTCCTTTATCTGTATGGTCTTCTGGTAATTAAGATTTTTTTTATCAATATGTTTGTGTGACTTACATTTGTTTCTCATACTTGAGGTGATCAAATATAGCTGTGACGGGTCTACTACAATCATACTCGTACCTTATTAGAGAAATTTATAATCATCAATCAATTGAGAATCATCTTCCATATAACAAACACAACTTGTTGCTTCGAAAAAAAAAAATTGTCTAATACACATAGGATGTTAATGTGGCAAACATGCATTTTAAGTCGTGTTGGTTTAACGCCATAGCAACTTTTCGCCTTTTGGTCCTGTAATTTAATATTTTAGTGAAATTTCAGTTCAAACTTTGAGTACTGAAATTGCAACAAAATTTGAAATTATAGAACTGAAATTGCAACAAAATTTTAAATTACAGGACTTAAATTCCTAATCGAAAATCTGTGAATTTGGGAATTTGTTGGAATTTCAGTCACTCAAATGATTGAAATTGCAGCAAAATATTAAATCACAAGACCGAAAGGCAGAATGTTGGAACATTAGGACTAAAATTGCTATGGCGTTAAGCCAGCAGGACTAAAAATGCAAATTTGTCATGTTAATCTTCACAATCTTTCACAAAAAAGTTGGTATATCACAATTTTTTTTTATGTACTCACAAAATTTTGCTATTTCATTCGTGCAGTTGTGGTTCTTGTGGCTATGATCTGAACCTCAACTCGTCCAGCCGAAACACATCGACCATCGGTTCGAAATACGGAAAGTTTATAAGAAAAGGGATCATCTCTTTTTACACTATCGACGAGAGCAGATTCAATCAAGTCCAAGATTTCAGTTGTGTGCCCTATTTCATTTCCAAGCACTTCTGGGGTTTTTTTCGTAAAAGGACCAAACTTTTGTGCCGAAATTGTGGGAGCCTTATTGGTATAGCCCGTGACGTGAAAGATGACTCATCTTACCATCTCATAACAAACGGGCCGGGCCCACACTCTGCGGGCCCAATCTCTAGTAAGAGAAAGTATGATATCAAGATTCGCTCCTTGCAGCCCTCGTCTGCAGGTTTCGGTACGCCTCTTGTTCTGTGATTGTTGTTTGAATTTTGAAACATTCAGATGAGCTCGTTTTAGTGTAATTACGAAACTGCCCTTAGCTGCATGACGTGGTTAAGAACTTTCCGGAAAATTCCTTTGGAGATTTTGCATCTTCTTGAAAAACTAGAGACATATATATATGGAAAGGGTATTTTTGTGAAAGGAGATTGATTGTGGTTTTGTTTAATCAGACTCAACTTTGAGGGTGCTTTCGCAGTTAAGCCCGTTTTGTTTGAATATATGGGCAATAGTTTTCCAGGATGGGTTGTAAATGATCCGTCTTTTTTCATTTGTTCTTTCAGCTTTTTTTCTCGATCAATCGGATTTTTACCACTGTATAGATGAATTGTGAATGAAGTCATTTGTACTGAATGATTTTAAATCAATGAAATTGAGAAATTTACATGGCACATTTTACTTCTCTCTCTCTCTCTCTCTATGGGGAAACTCACAATTTTGACATAAAATTGGAGATCTTGATATGGTCTGAATTTAAGGGTAGTTCTCTAACTACTCCTACTTTTAATTATAAGCAGGCATGAACAACAATAAAATGTCTGAATATTT